TTCTGGAGAATAGATTCTGAGAAGAATAGATTTTATGAAGAATAGATTTTGTGAAAAAGTGATTCTAAGAAGCGAGAGTGTTTGTATAGTTGTTATCAGAAGCATTTTTTATATGTACAAATTACTAAAAAGGGCATAAGTTAATATGATAATTACATAAAAGATAAATTTTATAATATAATTTAATTTCAAAAAATAAATTTGTTCATAATATATTGAAGTGGCGCTATATTTGGTATGCCAAACCCGGACCTCAAAGAAATAAATATTTGGTATATTTATTGATTCATTGATTATCATGTGTATTAATAAAGAAACCAATTCATTAACAATTATATATATCCTCACCGACTTAATATTATAAGATATACATGAACGCATTTAAAAGTTAGCACATATTAATTTAGAGTAAATTTAATTTTACTTTAATATCTGAAATTTACAAATGATATTCCTCAAATAATTTGTATATATTCTTCGCAGAATCTTAATGATCTTCTTTTTTGTTTTTGTTTTTTTAAAACTATAAAACTGCACATTATAGCTGGAGATGCGTGCGGAAGTACCCAAAAAAAAGAAAGAGAGATAATACTAGAAAATTAAAATTTGTTGTGTGTCCCCCACCTTTCAATATTTGCTTTCGGCAAAGCAGAGAGAAGGTGGAGTCGGCCGAGGCTTCTTCATAATCAAGAGCGAGAAAAAGGAAACCCGCATCTCGGTGAAGTAGTTCGTATTGACGATCGCTAAGAAAATTGACGATCACTCACTCTCGTCTTCCAGGAACCAACCTCAACGTCTTGTTTCACTTGACGTTTTTCGAGGTCTCACCGTTGCAGTAATGTTTTTCTCGCATCTTGCTAGCTAGCTCTCTCTTTTTGTCTCCCCCATCTGTTTTGTTTTGCGGAAGTAATAGTTACTAATTAGGGGTTTTGGTTAGTATGGCTTAACAGACTTTCTGAAGTCGTTTTCATATGATTATTAATAATCAATAATGGTTTAACAGTCGTGTCTCCGGCGCAGGGGTGAAGAGGTGTCTTCAGAGGAACGACGGCCAAGGACGAACAGGCGAAGCGTGAAATAATTCTTGTGGGTGTTTTTGTCAAATACATCGTTGACAGCCTCTGACACTCCCAACGACTCGTTTTTAATTTTCCAGAAACGAAAAATTGTCACTTTCTAAGAAACCATGGTTTCATCAGTCCAAACCAAGGTTTTAACAAAAATGAGGCTGTTTGGATATCACTTGGTCCAAACCATGGTTTTCTCTTCAAAACCATGGTTTGGAATGATATCCAAACAGGCCCTTAGTTGCGTTTGTTTGGTACGGTGGAAAACTATAAGATGACATGGCAAAAGTTTATTTGATGTTTTGGTGACAATCATGAGTGAAGTTACCAAACAAGTGATTGCATATTTTCAATATATTCATAATTATATATATATATATATATATATATTAGCTTGCATATGAAGGCTCATGTCGTGCATAAATCCAACCACAGTTACTAAAGTCACTTGAATTAATTCCCAAGCAATAATTCAAAAGCCACCACAAAAAATAAAATAAATAAATAATTTTCACCAGAAAGAGAGAAATTATAAATAGTCAAGCAATTCACATATTTCTACCAAAGGTCCAATAAGAGTGAAACTGTTACAACTGAACGAAAGTAAACTTTTATATAGGAGAGAGGTATATTGGAAGCTAAATACTTACTCGAAAAAAATGGATTGTAAGTATATGTTAATATATATCCAAAAGTACATGAAATTATATACATGATTAACAAATGTAGCAACTTATTTTATAGTCCAAGTATTTTCAGAAAACCGATGGGCCAAACAAATATAGATATTTACTGCTCAACATGTCCATCTAACAACTGACGTGGAAATTACTTTCTGGAACAAAAGGATTATGGGCAGATGTTTTATTTCAAAAATATATGTTGCCAAGTGAAAATAATGTCTCAAACTTCTTGACTGGTTTGCTCTGAATCTCAAAAGAGACTTGGGAATTATGGAAGATGGTTACTGGAATCAGATGTGGGGAGTTACTATTTGGAAACTATGGCTTTGGCAGAGCAAATCCATTTTCGAGCTGGAGATTCTAAAACCAACAAATCCAAGCTCGGGGATTATGAACTGTTGGAGGAGTTATTGCCAGATTCAGGACAAGGAAAATGCTCTGATGTTGGAGAAACAGGGTTCAGAAAAATGGGAACCTCCATCTTTTGATTGGATTAAATTGAACAGGTTTCTTAAGAGATGGCAATGGAACTTGGATAGCGGGTTTCACCAATTTACTAGGTACTTGTTTGATTTTTGAAGCAGAGGAGAGAGAAGTTTTTAAAGGGCTACAATTTGCTTGGGATCTGGGCTTTAGGAAAGTCATTCTGGAATCTGATGCTTGAAGCCCTGTGAATTTGATTATTAATGTGCCCAATGATGATAGGAGTAATTTGATGATGACACATTCGCAGCTCCATCAATTATTCCTGGCATTTGAGAATCACTCATATTTCAAGAGTACAAAAAAAAAAAAAAAGTGGCAGATACTTTGCCTAAGCAGGGGATTTCTAAATCTTCTATTTTAGATGCTTGTCCGAGGCATTTGAGAGTCTGGGATTTACTCTCCCATTGTTTTCATTTTGTGATTTTAGGTTGTAGAAAAAAAAAAAAAGGTTAACTACAGTAGAAATGACTAGTTTTTCATAACATAGTAAATTAAGGTTTGAATTCCCATTAAAAAAATGCTTATATTTAGTCGCCGATAGTTCTTCAAATAGAATTTATGCCCCTTAAAAGGATACATGTACCTAGTAAAAAAAAAAAATCCACCCAAAAGAAAATTCTCCCAAATCAAACCATCAAACTTCAAAGTGTGTTTGGGAGAGCGATTTATGGGCTAGAAGTAGTTTATTTTGTAGTAAAAGCCCGATCCAAAAAATAAGTGTGTTTGGAAGAGCTTGTATAAGACCGCATTTAGGGGCAAAAACCGGGGCCAAACGCGCGGTTCACCTTGAGCTGAGGGAGGTAGCTTTTTCAAGTGGCAATCAGGTTTAGGGCCGTTGGAAATTGTTGGAAATTGTCATTTGTCAGGATAATAATTTTCTCTCACTCCTCCCATTATTCTCTCATTATTTAATTAAACTCATGCATATTTTGGTAATTTTACAACCTAAACTTACTTTTGTTCAATAGTAATCCAAATAATTTTTTACTCAATCTCACTTTTACAAACCAATTTTTATAAAATTCAATCCAAATTCAATTCATATTACCCAATTTAACTTTTATCTAATCTCACTTTTTCAAAAGTCAAATTACAAATAAGTAATCCAAACAGATTCAAAGTAGAGTTATCATTGATGGTGGCATAGGGAATATCAACAAGTCTTATTTTATTAGGTGGAGTTGGGTATATGAATCATACAATGTCATTATATACTATTAACAACCAAATGTTTAAATAAATTGTTCAGCAAAAGTCTCATTCAATAATTTTATTGAATATTCTCTTCAATCTTTTTCCTTTATTTTTTCAAAAGAATGATCTATTCTTCTCACTAGTACTTTTTATGGCCTTCTTTATACATATCTCAATCTTAATTTTTATGGCCTTCTTTATACATGCCTCAATCTTAATCTCAAGTGATTTTCTACCATTTTCTTATCAATTAATAGACACCACATCAACTTTTTCTTATATATGTTCATTCTAAATTTTTATCCTTTTTGGTATGATCACTTCCATCTCATCAACATCAACATCTCCATTGCAACTTCATGTTTTTATTTTCCCTTTATTAAAAAAAACTCAATATTTTCAACCATATCAATATTTAAAATAACAGCGAGTTATCAATTATCATATTTTGAAAATTTTCCCCATTTGACTTTTTTATATATATTTTTTAAGATAATTATCTAGGATCCAGGTTCGAGAATTTTATGTGATCAATTTAACTTATAAATTTTTCCCACATAATTCCATTTTGCCTTAAATTTTGGTAAATATGGATTCATGATGATTTGACCTCTGACTCCTTCCATTATTAAATCAACGGATGAAGCATTAATGTTTTGATTTTGTTATGTGGGGTGACTTTGAAGCTAGTTCACTAGTTAGTGGCTTGTCTTCTACCTCCACCACAACCTCCTTGGAGCTTTTGGCCCTACTCTCCATTTGAGATAATGTCATTTGAAATGTCATATTCATATAAGTAAAGTTGAATATAATTATTCCCAAATTATGTGACAAATCATCACTTCTATTTTTCATATTTCCTTTTCAATCCCTCATGACCAAGTCATGTAAGAAAACTCAGGTGTCTGCTACTTATTGATCTAAGAAAAAAAAATGTACAAGACAATAAGAAACTCATACAAAGGAATGTTGTAGAAGAGATAGTGATACAATTTAATATGATTATACTTGAAATTAGTCCAGAATACTACTTCCAATCTTAAATGTAAGAATTAGATAGTTAATTTATAAAGATTAATAAAATAAGTGAAGTAAGTTATATATAAAATTATTTTTTGTTAATTTTCCTAGTCAATCTCTTTAAATAATTTGTACCAGAAAGTAGAAACTATTCTTATAGAGAAAAATTCCTTTAATATAATTGAACAATATAATAATAGCAATTAATTTAAAAAATTATAAATTTGGGAGATAAAGTAAATTAAAACCAAATCCATCCCTCACAACTAATTTTTATATTAGGAAGCAAAAAGAGTATTTACACATAATTAAAAAAAATTCAATATATTTATGTGCTCACTAGTGGTCTAAATAGGAATTTCACTTCATGTCACCATGTCCATTTATGGAACTTAGGAACTGAGACCCTATATATGAGGAGGTCTTAACATGGCTTGAAGCCACTTCGTTCCACATTATAAAGTTTAAATCTTCATTCACGAGCTCTGCAATTTCTCTGCTGCTACATTCTCATATCAGAGAGACACAGAGAGAGAGAAGAATGGAAAATATGGGTAAAGCTAAGAAGCTCATAAACAGAAGTAAGCTAAGCCATTATTTGTTGTTCGTTTCACTGATCTCTCTCTGTTGTCTTCTCTTGTCTTCTTCTTCTTCTTCTTCCTCTTCTTCCTTGCTTCATTACTTCAACCTCTACTTCTCCTCCTTGCCTTCTCAGATCTTGTCTCACACCATTGACAAGAACTGCATGTTCCTTCTTTGTAATGGCCTCCTTGTTTTCGTCAGCATCACCAAATCGTTATCCAAGTCTGATCCTCGTGATCATGATCGTCCTGTTGATGATGATAATAATGATCAACCTCTTGAACGTTCTAGTAGTATTGAAGATACTTCAGAACAAGTTGAGGCCAAAGAGTTGAATATTCAGGTCAGGACTACTGAGATAGAAGCAGAAATGGAGGAAGAAGAAGATGAAGAAGAAAGCAAAGAAAGTGAAGTCTTGGGTTTGGATTTGAAGAAAGAAGAAGAAGAATGGTGGGAAAATGAAGAGATTTTGGTGGAGGAAAACGTGGAGGAAGAGGATTGGGGGTTAAGCACAGAGCAGATGAACAAGAAATTTGAAGATTTCATCAGAAGGATGAGGGAAGATTTGAGGCTTGAAGCTAAAAGGCAAATAGTAATGGCTTATAATTAGCAAAAACCTGCTTTTTTTTTAAATGAAAAAAAGATATTAATCTTAGGATTTCCAGGTATTCTTTAGTCTTCTTTTCATTTCCCCTGTCCTTTCTCACCCTCTTGTACTTTAATTAGGTGCTTGTCTTTTTGGCAAAAATGGAAGTTTAATTCTTTGATGCCAAGGAATTGTTTATTACTCTCGCTCTTCCCCTCGTTTTTTTATATAATTTTTGAAATCTTTTTCCATAGTTCTCGCTGTTTTTATATTTTCTTTTGATAAAGTGTTTAAAGTTGTGTGTAAAGTGTTTATTATTCTTTTTAATCTATTTTCTTTTGATATTTCCTTAATTTGTTTAACGTCAACTTACTTTAATTTGTATAGGCAATGCAATAAAAATTTAAAATCTGAAAAAATTAATGTATATTTTTTTGCCAGCAGAAAAAAAATTTAATCAAGACCCTGTAAATTTTTTTTTCTCTTTATTAAGTCTTTATGATTTCACCTAATTTTAAATGAGTCCTTTTTTAAACCTATGGTCTTTTGTGATTTGTAATCAAGTACCTATAGTTTTTTTTTTTTTTACTTTTTATCAACCACATGAAACTAATCAGAAGGACGAGGGAAGATTTGACGATTGAAGCCAAACGGCAAACAGTTATGGTTTATAATTAGCAAAAACCAGTTTTTTGGGAGAGTGAAAAAAAAAAGAGTTAGAAATTACTAAATCTCAAATCAGTTTTGGTAACAGTATTTTATTTGGTATTGACAATACTAAATTTACAAATGACAACAAATTTTTGTTGACATTCCTTATTTGACATTTACAAATTTCAACTTCTTTTTTTATTATTTTTCCCAGTTTTTTCCCTTAAATTAAAAAAAATGGATTATTCTTAGAATTTTCAGGTTTAGTTATCCTTTTAGTCTTTTCTTCATTTCCCCTCTCCTTTCTCACTCTCTTGTACTTTAATTAGTTAGTTGCTAGTTGTTTGTCTTCTTGGAAAAACTGGAAGTTTAACCCTTTGATAGCAAAGAATTGTTTATTACTCTCTTTACGTTTTTTTTTCATTTTGAAATCTTTTTCCACACTTCTTGCTGTTTTTATAATAGGGTTAAGGACATTCGGCATCCTAAGATATATACCCTAAGGTATATTATGGTGCATATAGCATCTTAAAATTCTTTTTTAAAACTTTGTTTAGTACTTTGAAGTATTTTTTAGTACATTTAACACTTTAAAATATATTTTTTACATGTAGGATGCCGGACACACCTAAAGTATTTTTCAGGATACCTGATGCATCACAAAATTATTTTGGGCTTGAGAGTAATTTTTTTCAGAGCGTTAAGGTTAAAGTACTTCTAATAAGTGTACTTTTTGGGATTCGAACTTGTATTTTCCTTCTTACAAGAATAAGACCGCTTACCATCTCAACCAACAACTTGTTAGTATATTTCTACCTAGTTTTTAATCAAGTCCCTATAATATTTTTCTTTTTATTAAGTCTTTATAATTTCATCTAATTTTAAATAGGTCCCTATTTTTTTCCGCAGTGCTTATTATTTTACTTGATTTGTATTCATGTACCTACATTTTTTTTTTTTGGCTTATCAGTCACATGAACCTAACCAGCTGAAAGTATAGGGTTCTGCAAATTAATTATTACTAAACAAACCTATGTATACTTTAGGCTTAAATTGAATTAAGAAAAGACAGCTTACCAATTTCAAAATATCACCTCCAGTACTTAATAAAAAAGCTAATTAAAAATTCAATTTAGTCATAAATATAATATTTTAATTTATTATTTTTAATATTTATCTATTTCTTTTAAAATAATCTTTATCGTGATTGTTCATGTAAAATTAATTAATTAAACTACTTATATAAAATTGACTAATTGTAAACCTGGGTCAAATCTAGTTTTTATTATACTGGGACAAGCATGATATACGAAAATGTTACTCTAATGTTCCTTCTGTTCGTTTTTTTCCTTTGAAAAATTAAAAACTACTACTAAAATTACACGATTTAAAATATTGGTTGAAATTTAGTTTAAGACAATAAATGTGTAAGATAAATATATTTTAATTATACTCTTGTTTATAAAGAGAATGCATGAGAAATAATGAATAAAATTTACTGCAAAGAGACAATAAATCGCGTATATTTAATAGAGATAAAAATAGAAAGACTAGTTTAAAATTTTAAACAAAAAGAATTTCTTACATTTAGAAAGACTACTATGAGAGAGATTATTCCTTATAAAAAGTAACAAATTGAGTACTACTCAACCACACTTTCTCAATATTTGAATAGACTAATGAGACAAATAAAACTGATTTCATCTTAGCATAGTGATGTATTTATCATTTTCACTAATTAAAGCGATCAAAGATATTTCTCTCATAACAAGGGAGACAAATCTCATCTTAATTACTCATCTTTCTCCACATTCATCCCCTTTGCTAAATCACAACCTTCACAAGATCACATCATTTTTGTCAAAACAAAGTGTTTTTCATGCAGGAATCAAATACAAGGTAATTTTATACTCCATCTATTTTTAAATTAATTGTTGCTTTAGTGTTTTGGACAACTTGAGGATGCTATTTAATTTTTGTCCCTATTTAATTTTGAAACATTTAATGTGTTTTTACCATTTTTGTTCCTATTTAATTTTATATATTACATTAATTAAAAAGTTTAATACATTCTCTTTCATACTTTCTCTTTCATATACTTATTACTTTTAACTAATTTTAACTATTTTCTTAAATTTCGTAATCTAGTTATTACTCCTTCCGGTTCAAAATATAAGCTAAATTTTGTTGGAGGAATTTGGTTTTTTTATAAGATAACATTCACTTTTTTCTAAGTATTTATTGAGTTTGTTCCAATTTTATCCCTATATATTCTCTTTCCTCTTTAATTCATTTATTACATCTTTTACTTATACTCTTCATTAATAAGAGCATATTTGAAAAAAAAAATGCATACCTTACATATTTATTATTTTAAACTGATTTTAACTAATTTTTTAATAAATGTAAATGAATAAAATTTATCTTATATTTTAAACCAAAAAACACAAGACAAAGTACATACTCGTACTCAATATCAATGTGGCATGCTGAATCTCTCTGGAAACGCATAAGTGAACAAGCATAAGGGATACCATTAATCATTATTAAATGTGCAATAACAACTTTTAAGGTGCTCTCTCTGCATTTATTTTCCTGCCCAAAGTCAAGCAAGTTAGTTGGATCATGCTACCTTGCCGCTGCTCTCTTTCGTTATCAAATATTTTATGTCACGCATTTAAATATAATAAATATATAACTTTTTTAATTTTTATCCTTAAATTCAAAATTTTATGATATTTTAAATTTTTTTTAGAATACTCTTATTCAATAATTTTTTCCTAATATTTTAAAAATTAACTGAACATGGAATTGTTAAGATTAACAGTTAGACTGGCTGTGAAATCGGTGAGATAATAATTAAATAAAAATTTAATAAAAATGATTATAGCATATATAATTATATATATAAGAAATAAATCTATAACAAGTCTATTTTTTTCACCAAAAATAAGTCTAATTGGCAATATAATACCACAATATACGAAGTTTTCTCATATATCTAGGATTTGAGTGAGCACAAAATTTCACGAATATTTATAAAATATTTACTTAAATAATAAAGATAAAGATTTTTTTAGCAAACTTAAATAATAAAGATTGGGCCCATTAAATTATTATTAGAAAATAAAATATAATTCAATATAACAAGGCCAAATTGCATTAAATTTTTTTTTTTAATTTAGAATATGTACAAACAAACTGCTTAACCTCTAAAATTTAGTTAGTAAACCTCTCTAAACTTTCATATTTGTGTAGATAACCTCAAGCTAATCAATTTGTACCCCCTTAAACTTTATTTTTATATGCATATAATCCCTTCAAATTTTGAGTTATATATATATATATATGTAGATAAACCTCTTAAATTTTAAGACATTTGCCAATAAATACCAAACAACCTAATAGTATGAGAGTTATTTGCATAAATGTAAAAGCTTAGGAGGCTTATTATGAATTTTTAAAAGTTAGGAAAATTATTTACATATGACATAAATATCCTTTTATTTGATCGATTAAAAATGTTAGACATATTTGATTATTTTGCCATGTTAAGTCAAAATGAAAGATATAGATAAATATATTTTGCATTAATTATATTATTTTTGAACCAACTTAAGACCAAATCCCACACTTGATTTTCGAAGCATAAAATTATAAGAAGTAGACTTCAAAGCACAAAATTTGCTGGAACTATTCTTGCGCTTGGGCGAACTTTATTCTACTTTTATACTACCTCCGATTCTTGGTATAGGAGCTAGTTTAATTTTTAATTTAACTTTAAATATAAGATCCTAATTTACTATGCCATCAAATAGCAGTTCTAACTAATACACATGATTAGTAACGGTATTTCAAGAAAAAATATTTATTTATTACAAAAAACTAACTTAAAAAACTTTTTTAATCTATTCAAATTAGTCAACTAGCTCTTATATTAAGAATCGAAGGTAATATATCCAAATAGATGAAAGATACGAAATATATAATACTCCTCCAATCCTTAATGTAGAAATTAATTTGAGAGTTAATGTTGGTCCTATATGTAAAACCTATTTCACATGTTTATTAATTTTTTTTTCCAAATTAACCGTATTAATATTTTCCTTAACAATAGTCAAGTAAGAGAGGGAAGAAGGGAATTAAGAAAGATGATTAGGGTGTTTTAAAAAAAATCATATTAACTAATTTAACTAACATCTTTAATTTACTTAAATTAATTAATTAGGTCTCATATTAAAATTCGGAGGAGTATTAAATACATAATAAATCAGACTATACTCGCTCCATCCCTTATTATAAGATCCAATTTTTTTGAATGAGTTTATCCTTTTTTATAAAATCCTCTTTAAGTTTGTCTAAGCATTCAATAT